CCCGCTATAAAGCGGTCCCTATTTATCTACTTGTACTTAGGGGTGCTTTCGAACTGCTAGGTGGGCAGGAGCTGGGACCGAAAGACGGGAGCTCACCCCGCCGCGGGGATTCGAACCGCCCACCATACGATCGGCAAGTCCTAGGCGCTGAGGTTTTACCCACAGCGAATAATTATTTCACTATTAATATACTTCTTTATTGTATTTCACTATTAATATACTTCTTCTTAATTGTATTTCAGTTCAACAATTACTTTGATAAAATACATATTTTGTTATGTGAAAATGGCTTTAGATACCTATTAGGTCCATCAATTACCATATAGCACATATTCAACACAAAAAACAGTGACAATTTGTTGTTGACAAAGGACAGCTGGACATATAAAGGGCCCCATTACCTTCAGTAGCAAGTTAGGGCCTCATCAAACCTAAATCCAGCCCTGCTGGCACCCCTGATGTTGCTTCTGTAAGCCAAAATAGCACCACCCACCCACAACTGCGGGCAGGCAGCAGCAGCCTTGGAAATGCCCATGGTTTGCAGGTGTGTGTGTGTGTTGCCAGGATGGAGAACTTGAAACCAGGAGCAGCTTCCTGAAGAATGAGCAGGCTCAGAGACTACAGAAAGCTGACTGACTGGTGCAGGTGGGTGAGAGCTGGGCGGAGGCAGGTGCACAGAGAGGGGGCATAATGGAGTGGCTGAGACCTCACTCCACGTTACATCTTCTCTGGTGTCCCATATATTGTTGTTGTTGTTTCTGGGAGTTGCTGGTTTGCGTCCTGCCTTTCTGGGGAAGAAGGATAAGCTGAAGCGGCCTTTCCTATGGCTCTGCTGGTCCATGCAATTGCGCGAGGTTCTGTTTAACCTGACCAGGCCGTCACCGGGTCCTGCGGATCCGACCTGCAACACTTGCGCGCAGAGCACGGCTGCGAGGGTCTCCTTGGGCTACTTTAAACCTGCGCTCGGATTGAGTCCCCAACTTCCGGCTCCTTCTCCAGACTCCTTCGCGGAGCAGCGCGCCTCTGAGCCACAAGATGGCACTCCTAGTAAAGACTTCAGCCGCTCCTCGCTGCCTTTGGTGATGCTGGAAATCAGAAGTTCTCCAAAAAAAAAGAAGACCAAGGAAAAGAATGACTCCCATTCTTCCTACGTGTCATGCCGCTGGGATGGCACCGAGGTTCCTTCCTGCCCCACGCGGCATCCTTATTTGTAGGAAGGAGAGGCGGCTGCTGCAAGAAACTCCAAACTCAGCAGAACACGAGGTTGAGGTTGGGGTTGAGCTGAAGGCTTTTTCCAACCCGAGTGCCGCCGCCACAGGCTCCTGCCGTGACCACTTCAGCCAGCCAGCCGACCGCCCCCACCCCCCACCTCCCTGGTCCCGGATCCCCGAGCCCTAAACAATGAGCAGATTGTGCACGGACCAAACCGGCTCCGGCTTTCTTGCTGAACGCTCCCTGGACTCTCCGCTCCGGATGTGCCAAATATAAACCAGCGAAGGAGAGAGTCCAGAAATCGGGTGGGGAGGATGGAGAGAGACTGGGACAGGGAAGGGTGGCTTACACGTGTCAAATCAAGCATCTCATCATCATCGCTTGATGGGCTCCCCGCTTTCATTCAATCTAAAAACCAAATCAAACTTCTAATCCTTACACAGGAATCCCCGTCCAAATAATTTATTGCAAATGACTACACTTAATCCGGAGTAGCTCCTAATGAAACTCCCAGATCGTACTCCTTCTCGCCGAAAATTCAGCCCCACCGAGTTCAACGGGGTTTACTTTCCAAGAAAGTGTGTGCAGGATTGCAGCCTACTTCTACGGCGTAACCAAAGCACCACGCTATTCTGAATCGGTGCACGATTCAATACAATGTTTTACGTGGAAGGAAGTCCTCTTTTATGAATTGGGGTTTACTGCTCCAGTAAGGTTACAGGTTTAATCTGAAATTGATTTGGGACTGGCATGCTAAAACAATAAATCGGTGGGGCTTATCTCCAAGCAGATGTGTCTGAAGGTGGGGTGCATTGAAACGATCGACAGGACCGAAGCTCCGGTCCTTGGGAGCGAAGTAGCCAGAGATGCTGTGCTTTGAATCGATTGGATTAAACGAGGCACATCTTGCAAAGGCGGCGAACACAGCAGACGCCCTATAGCTCGGGTAGAACAGTAACTTTTCCCAGGTCTATGTAGGCTGTTATCTCGCACTATGCATTTAAAACACGTCCGATCCCACCCCAATGATCCTGGGAATTGTAGTTTGTTAAGGGTCCTGGGAACTGTAGATTCTTGGGGTGGGTGTCTCTCCGATCTGTCTCTCGTGTCTCAGCCTTCCCATGGCAGCTCTCCTCCAGGCCTCTTCAAATGCACATCACTTGGAGAGGCGACAGGAATGGCGGAAGCTGGAGTCTAGCAAGGGGCCTCCTCGGCCTTGATTTATGGCCTTGGCGGTTTCCCTGACCCTTCTCCTGCCTACACGCCCCCTTTCAAAAGACCATCGTTCCTACTCAACGACTGTCAAGTGGGCATTTTCATACAACACCGTCGCCACCAAAACCAGTCGTGAATGGACCCCGCTTCCACCCATCAGTGTGTGTGTATGTTATAAAAAAAGTTATTTGCCATTGATTTGGGTAAAGTGATTCCTATAATTAAACTGTAAGGGATTTGCTTAATGTGATTTTATAAGAGCTGCGGCCATTTCCAAAGCAAACAGACACGCTGGAAGCCAACACACTCACACACACACACACAGTCGCAAGAGTTACCCAGCTGGCTACGAGATCTTGAGTGAGCAAACAGTCTAAATCTGGAGGGTAAACAGCCTGGAGGAAAAGCGACAACTCCAGGCCACTGAAAAACAGCCTTGGATTTGTCTGCCTGCCTGATGCCTAGTGAAAAAAATAGAAAAACTCTCATCCCTTCCTACCTTCCTCCCTCCTGTCTCTCACCCCTCCGCAAGAGACTCTGAAAGGCGTTCGGGGTTATTTCTGGGGGAAAGAGATGCTCCTTGGGTTTGTCCCCTCCAGAGATGAGAAACCCGGGGAGAAGCATGATGCGGCCCTCCAGACCTCACCATCCGGCCCTGGGACTCAGCCTCACTGGATCTGCTCTGCACCCTACCTGGCTGGCCTATGACGATCCCTCTAGCTAGCCTATATGGCAGGTGGAGAGCGCTGTGTGTTTGGCCACGCCCACCTTGGCCACACTGGAATCCGGCCCCCCAAAGGGTTGCCCAGGAGGGAATGTGGCCCTCGGAGCCGAACAAGTGGCCTGAGTGTGCCATCCCTGTCCTAAACGAATGAATGAGACTATGAACATGAATTGGAGGTAGGGGATCCTGAGACCCTCCAGATGTTGATGGACTCCAACTCCCATCCTCCCTGACCATTGGCCGTGCTGGTTGGGGCTGATGGGAGTTGGAGTCCAACGACGTTTGGAAGGTCACAATTTCCCCATCACTGGGTTTAACAAGTATTCTTCAGAGATACATCCAGCCCTGCTGGGATATTCAGCTCACGCTGTGATGCGCCAGAGGCAGTAAAAAAGTATGAATCTGAGGGGTTTGGGCTGGAGGAGAAAAAGAATACTGGGATAATTAGCCCGAAGTCCCGGTTCAACATATTTCCCAATGGAACATTCCCACTGAATGCGCAGGCGCGCTCACACAGGTTTCCTGGGGGACACACCTCTTGGTTCAGCAGTCTTGCTTAAACCATAGCGAAAGGATGGTTATGTTGTGGGTCATCTTGTGCATTTCACTTGTTGGAAGAGGGTTGAGAAGGTCCTGAATGGTTCCCTTCCTCTCCCGGTGTTCGATTACTGTGTCAAAGTGGGCAATTCAAGGACGGTAGGGGGTATTTCATATATGGGTCGCTTTTAGCCACTTCCCCACAGGCCCCATGCTGTTATCAGTTGGCCTGCCAATACACACACTTTTCCCCAACACTGTAAGCTACTCGGGGCTTGTATATTCGGAGGAGGGATCCCGAAGTACATTACATCGCATATTGCTAGGTTCCATGCGTGCTTCCTTCAGAAATAAGTCCCACCGAAGTAAATGGTGCTTACTTCCAAGACAACGCGCATGTTGCATTCTAAGCCACAGACTAGTATAGCAGAGCATTCTGTTCAGAACACGGTCTCCATCTAGCCTTGATTTTATTTCAGAAGTTCCCTGTATTTACGAAGATCACTCCGGATTAAGGAGTGGAAATCCGGAGCACTCATCCCAAAGACTCCAGTGGGGTCTGAATCCCCAGTATGTTGTCATGATTATTTGTCACTGTCGTCTGTTGAGCATTTGTAGGCTACAGAGCTCCTTGATCTGGGAGAGATCTGCCAGGTTTCTTATCCCCATTTTGCAGACGGGAAAACTGAGGGACAAGTTCAAAAGCTTTCTCCTGTGTTATCCATGGCCGAGTACAAACCCGGATTCAGTCCTATTTGCATTCTACAGCCATTATATCCTGGCACATGCGTTATTGAAAAGCTGCAACCTTCCTATTTAACAATTGCCCATAAATTCCCTGATCAGGGAACGCTGGTTGTCTGAGAAGTATGGGACTTTCCTAGAACATCCAACATCTTTCCACCCCTGGAGTAAGCCCCCTTTTGTCGGCCTTCCTCTGCATCTGCATCTTGAAACACGAGTGTCACGCGTTCACACATATAGACGCTTGATGCACCACCGTCTTCCTATTGCACAAACTTCGACGGTTCTTTTCTTTTTCCCTAACGCCCAAAATTCCCATCCTTGCTGGCTAGGAGAAGAGAACCCCGAGATAATGGTGCTGCTCGTATTCCTTTTTTTTTTTTTTTAAGGAGCTTGAATGGAACTTAAAAAAAGGGAAAGAATGAAAAAAGCAGAGCGCTTTGTTGTGCTAAACTAGTTGGACGAGTTAGGGTGTCGCTGCTGCTCCGGAGTGCTCTGGCCAATGGAACCCAATCCACCCCGCTGTGCGTAAGAGCGCAATTAAGGATTTAACCAAGCCTCTCCGCTCCCTGCGAGCAGTCTGCCAGAGCCAGAGCCAGCCCCAGAGAGCTCCCAGCCGCCGCCGCCGCCTCCTCCGCCTCCTCCCTCGGTCCCTCCCCCCTGCCATGGCTGCCTAGAAGACCCAGCCGCCCGCCCGCCCGCCTGCTTGCTGCCTCGCCAACTACTATGACCGGAGTGTTTGACAGAAGAGTGCCAGCCATCCGATCCGGAGACTTCCAAGGTCCTTTTCAGACGGCTGCAGCCACCATGCACGGGCACCCGCCGCAGGAGTCTCCCACTTTGCCCGAGTCGTCCGCCACGGACCCCGACTATTACAATTCCCCCGGAGGAGCCCCGCACGGCTATTGCTCGCCTTCGTCGGCTTCCTACGGCAAAGCGCTCCATCCTTACCAGTACCAGTACCAGGGCATGAACGGAACCGCCGCCAGCTACCCAGCCAAAGCCTATGCAGACTACAGCTACGCCAGCCCTTACCACCAGTACGGCGGCGCGTATAACCGGGCGCAGAGCGCAGCCAGCCAGCCAGGTGAGAGGCGCCGGCGGGGAGAGGGCTGGAGGCGGGGGCGGGTGGCTAGGAAGATGCCCGAGGAGGGGTCTCCCCCTCGCGATCTGGGGGTCACCGAGGACCCTTCTGGTGACGGGGACAGTTTGACCCCCAACCCACCCGATTTTTTTCTCCCCAATCTGGGCTGGGGGGCGACGAAGCCTCTCCTTCCACCGCCGTGCAAAAAAATTCCCGGTTGAAAAGCCAGAGAGAGGCGGAAAGAGAAACCATTCAATCTGGATTCTTTGTTGTCTCCAACTCCGGATTGGGAGGCAATACATTGAGGGGAATGGGAACAGGGGCTCCGACATTGTGGGGTGGGGGTGGGGGTGTCCCTTCCCGACGCTGAGGTAATAGAAAGCCACGGTAAGTAGCTGTGGCGGGGAGGGGGTAGGTACTGGCATGATTTCTACCCTCCCGCACACATGTTTTTATTGCAAAGGACAGGACGACGTCGGCGGCACCCCGTCGTCGTTACGCGAAGACAGGCCGAGTTTTTTTTTGGGGGGGGGGACAGCAGACGTGTGGGGAGAGGGAAGGGGAAGGATCTGATCTCGTGCCTTCTTTCCTTCTCCCCACCCCCCCTCCCCCACCAAAACAGCCCTCGCCCGAAGAGTCTTGCTAATATTAGCTTCCAAAATGGAATGAGGGATTAATCCCACACACGGAGACGCGCGGTTAAACTGTTTCCGTGTGGCTTCCACAAGAAGCAAACTCAGGGAAATCCAGGGCTAGGCAGGAACAGCTCAAATCCTCGTCTCTCCTCCATGTCCCCCCCCCCCAATTTAAAAAACAAAACAAAAACACCGTTGTGGAACAGGCTTATCCAATGCGATCCCGGAACAATTTCAGCTGAATGCACGAAGCCTCTCAAATTCATGTTTTGCTGTGTTTCAAACTCTCTAATTTTTCAGACTATATATATATATATATAGTCTGGATATATATGAATGAGAAATATTTTTTGCTTCCACCCCCTCGCCCTATTGCCTCTCCTACTTGCGCGCGAGTGTACACTTCTTGAGATACGTTGTTTGTTGCTCCCATCAAAGGCGAGGGGAAATGCCAGTGGCGCGTTAAGTATTTGTAAAAGGAACCAGACGCATCTGCGCCGCTTCTCTCTCTCGCTCTCTCCCACCAACCCCCGATCGGCGGCGAGATTATTCTGAATAATCGGCTCTCTGTCTGGGCCGGATTTGGCTACTTTCGGCTGAAACGGAGGAGAACCGTTTTCTTGTGGCGATGCGGCCTTTGAACTCCCTAGACCTCAAGATTGCGTGTCCCTAGTCTGCAGAGCTTGGGCTGGGCTGAATTCATGAGGCTTCCATTCAAATGGAGAGAGGAAGAGGGAGACTGTCTGCTTGTTTCCATGCGTGAAAAATCAATAGACACTGGATTGTGACCTAAAAACGCCCGGGAACTTTGCTGCTTGTTAGGTTTTTTAATTACGGGAAGACAAAATGGTAAAATCTGACCTGGGTCCCTTCCTCTCTCTTTTACGAAAACCGATGAGCCAAATACCCCATGGGGAAATAAAATATGAAATAATATTTCGGTGGAAACCTGGGTGCTGTTTATATCCTCTCTCAAATTCACTCACTCCCAAATACATAGAAGCACTCCAAACAATCTTCCCTTTGCAAGAAATAGTCACGACGGCTGTTTCTACCATGTCAGTTTCCTTCTCCCCCCGCCCTCCCACGTCCCAATTTTCCAGGGGTCTCTCGCGCTTGTTTGTCAACTTCGCGGCCGCCACGTCGGGGTCAGGGGTGCGATCCTGGCCTGTCCACCTAGGTGCGGTCTCCTTCCTGTATTCTGCCGCTGGCGTCCTCTGCCCCAGTTCTAAGCTTCCTTTCTGATTTCCTCCCCGCTCCGATTGTTTAGAAAAAGAGGTGGCTGAGCCGGAGGTGAGGATGGTGAACGGCAAACCAAAGAAAGTGCGCAAACCAAGGACTATTTACTCCAGTTTTCAGCTGGCGGCCTTGCAGAGGAGGTTCCAGAAAACCCAGTACTTAGCCCTGCCGGAAAGAGCCGAGCTGGCCGCGTCTTTAGGCCTGACGCAGACACAGGTAAGGCCAGGTGGGAAGGAAGGGCGACCCTGAACATAAAAAAAAACCTATCCAGATCCTTCGCAATAATTCCTACTTGAGCGGGACCCACCCGTTCCCTGAACATAAATACTATGTAAAATTTTTTCAAGAATTCCTGCTGGAAGGGTCTAAAGTATGTTTCTGAGGGGCCTTATTTCCCTGGTCATGTATATAGAATGTATAGATATACACACACAAATTCGGGTTATTTCTCCTTTTGTACCTGGGGTAAGGCCAAGAGGGCGCACCGCGCAGGAGTTTTTTGCTGCTGCTCCCTTCCCTTGTTGCTCTGCGGTGCCTTTCTCTTCAGCTCTCTCCCCAAATCTTGCTTGCAAGATTGCAGTGGCCTTTAACTTCCACGCAAGCATTTGCTTACTTTTTAGAAAAGTTAATGAGATTGAATCCGATGGGGCCGGGTTGGGCGGGGTGGGGTGGCGGGGTCATTTGTTTTGGTGAGGATCGGGGGAGAGAGATCTTCAAGTGCGCACCAGCCTCGCGGATTGCGAGAGCGCACCGGCTTGCGGCAGAGAAGACCGTGAGCCTGACTTCCATCTCGCCCTGTTGACGACGCGCAGTATTTTTGTTTTGTGTCTCTTTTAACTGTAGCTGGAGGCTTTCGCTCTCTCTCTCTCTCTCGATCTTGTAGCACAAAAGATTGGAGCGGAGGGGGATGGGGGGGGAGAAACCGCACGTGGGTGGATCTCCTGCGTTAGGAGCTTGCAAAGTGCAGCTGGACCCGGGAGGGGCTGCTTGTCAGACCATTTCGGTGCAAAGGGGGGAAAGAGTCTTTCGTGCGAAAGCAGGTTATCTCGGGATTGGGCTGGTATTGTTGCGCTGGGGCGGGTGTGGGGAGGCTGCTGCGTTGGGAACACAAAACCGACTGCGGCGAGAACAAAAGCACTCGTGCGCGCACTCACCCACTGAGTAATGTAGGAGTTAGGATCTGCTGCTGGTCCTTGGCAGACCATAATCAAGACAGCCATCGTGCCCTCGAGGCTCCCCGCTCCGCTTTAGCCTTTGTTCCTTTTGCTTTTCTTTAATTGAGCATAATATTAATTTTTAAAAAAAGAAATCCCTTAGGCAGCTGCCGCGGGGGGGGGGGAGGCAGGCCTGGTGTCCAAAAAATCAGAGGCCAAAGAGTGTCTGGGTTTTAGCATCCTCAGAGCCCAGATCCTGCTTTTCTGATGGCCCGAGAGAGGCCCGATCTAGCACGTGAGCGCATGATGATCCCTACTGTAAATATTGAAAGTAGATGGGGCAACTAGACTCTGGGATCTTCCTTGATTCCATTGCTGGCGGCTCCCCTCTAGGATCGCCTTGCAAGTGCCATTTGAATCCTCGGGGCCTGTTTCACCGTCCCTGCCGTTTCCATGGAAATCGTTTCCTTGGGAGTCCAACACACAGCAGCCCCCCGGACTGACCTGCGCGTACAGGGCATGCATAGATTTAGAGTGAGACCTTGTGCTTCTGAAGCAAAAACGAGAATGAAATCAAGGCGTACAAATAAACGTCCATGGGTTGTTGTTTTTTAAAAAGGGTTTATTTCCTCATTTCTTGTCACCCATTTACTTATTTTCTTTCCCTCTTTTTCTTTCTTTCCTTCACTTCCCTCTTCTTCCCCCCTCCCTCCCTCTTCCTTCAGGTGAAAATCTGGTTTCAGAACAAAAGATCGAAGATCAAAAAGATCATGAAGAATGGCGAGATGCCCCCGGAGCACAGCCCTAGCGCCAGCGACCCCATGGCTTGCAACTCCCCGCAGTCTCCCGCCGTGTGGGAACCGCAGGGCAGCGCCAGGTCTCTGAGCCCACCCCACGCCCACGGGGCCAACTCCAACCCGTCGCCCGCCGCCACTTACCTGGAGAACTCCTCGTCCTGGTATTCCAGCGGTAACGCTCTCAGTGGTCACCTGCAGCCCCACGGCTCTCTACAGCACCCCTTAGCTCTGGCTTCTGGGACAATCTACTAGAATAGGATTCTTTTTTAAAAAACAAAAAAACCCTCTTTCCTCGTTTTAAAACTCTTTACCTTTTCTTTTTTTTCTTTTTTTGGACACTTGGCGTTTTGTTGATAAAAGGAAAAAATGCATATGGTTGACTCTCTTTTTTGTTTTGTTTTTTGTTTCGGGTTTTCCTTTTTTTTTCAGGGAAAGGGGGGAAAAACACTATACAGGATGAAATGTGTACAGCTCCTGCATGTAACTTATTGCATTTCAAAGGAAATTTTCTCCCGCCCTCTTTTTGATTTTTATTTTTTAACCAAAAAAAAGAGAGACACGGACGGACTTTGGGGTTGTTTTTTGGGGGAGGGAGGGGGAAATGAATGGTGGCTTATTTTTTACTTCATCAACTGTGGACACTTTCAAAGGTGCCTTGAGAAATCTGATGACCTCAACCTTTTCCCCCAGAGACTTTCATTTTCCCCTCCCAACAATGTCATTTTAACCCTGTACATAAGTGTAGATAGAAGGAATTAAACTGTATATTCTGAATAAATAAAATTATTTCCACCATGAGAGCAGGAGAAGAGAAAGAGGAAAAATATGACGCGTTTCCCCTCTCTCCGTTTGTCGAAAGGGACTAGCTGGGGGGGGGGGGGCAGGTTGTGTGTTATCTCAGACTCCTTGCTCCATCTTTTAGATTCATTTTATTTGTGGGGAGGGGGAAAGATTGCCCCGTATGGCCCGATCCTCTGCTCACCTATATACCTGTAAGGCTGGGTAGTCGTTTAAAATGCTGGACTGGGCTTATAGAACCCGGCACGTACAAAATAACTCCCCCCCATAACATCCCTATTTTAAAGCCTCCATCATAACCTCCCCCTCCCCCACCCCAGCTATACAAAAAGCGACTAACCCTCGAACGAAAATGATCTGGAGATGAAAAGAAGCGCTGGGAAGTGGCGGGGGGGGGGTTGCAAATCGCTCTGTGTGCTTCTCTCTACTATAAAAGCAATTATCTGGGAGAAAGCCAGCATCCCATCGTCTAATTATACAAATTACATTTGCTTTTTTTTAAAGCTGCTAAACAGGGCAGAAGACTAAAATGTGGACCATCCCCTCCCATCTCGATTCCTTCTCCCTTTTTCCCCGGGTTGGGAACACAAAGGCGATCTGCAAAACGGGGCCTGGGTGGTTGTTAGCCGAGGAGCCCTTTCAAAGGCGAAGGCGAAGGCGATCATTATCTTTTCCTTCGCTCCTGACGTCCTCCTCCTCTTCGCCGAAACTCCGCACCCTCCTCCAACCCAATCCCGAAATTAAATTCCGGGCGAGCCACCCGAGGGCGACCGGAGAATGGGGAGGGAAAGGAAGAGGGACCCCGTGTGGCCATCCACACGTGGCATCGCAGCCCTCTGTGTCCCGGCGTTGCGGGATGGAAGCAAAATGCTCGAAGGGAGAGGCCAGATAGCTGCCTTCTCTCCCCAACCCCCGTACGGACTGGAAAACAAAACGAACCCCCTGTTTCCCCACCCAAAAAATATTTTGTCTTTCCGGATCTCCGCTTGGCCCAGGAGCAAATTGAGAAAAGGGTTCAGAGCAGGCTTGGAAAAAGCACCTTTGGGTTTTAAAAATTATTTTAAAATGCATTGGGAACCCTGACCCCGTCTGTAAGTAGGAAGTAATACTTCAGGAGATACAGCAGCGAAGAATAACAGTTGGGTTGTATATTTTTTTAATGTTGTTGTTGTTAAAAAAAGAAAGAGGGTTAGAACTTAAAAAAAACAAAACACCACCATAAAAATTACATCCTGTCATCTGCTGATTTCAGTAAGAGATGTTCCAGGGTTTGGAGACAAAAACCTGAAAAGGCACGCTTTGTAGCCTCGGGCGAATTTACCTGTCTCTGGTAGTCTCTGCTGTTCTCTCCCATCCCCCACGTTTCTTTCTCCTCTTTCGGTTTTGGTCTCCCCTTCTACAGTAATTTAATTTGGAGACAGAGAGAGAAAGAAAGAGAGAGAGCTAAGCCATTTTTTTGGAGGGGGTGCAGGAATAAGTTTGGTGGAACATTATCTTGTGCACATATATATTAGAATAAGATATTTGTTCGTTTGGAACGCGCGCGACTCGGTGTGTGTGCGCGTGTAAACGGAGCTCCAAGCCACACGCGCCTTGCCCCATTGTTCTCCCCCCTCAGCAGCCGAACCTTCCCTTTCTTGATGGGGTGGGGAGGGGGAGAGAAGAAGAGAGCTTGTTCCAGATCACCCTCCCCTCCCCCATAAAAAGATCTCTTTCAATATGCACTCACGCACTCTTGCAGTGCTTTTCATGAGTATTATTTTAGCAGAACAGGTATATATATATATATACATCTCCTGCACCGTTTGATCTGTTCAGCATTCAGTGTGGGATTTCCCTGTTTCTCCCACTGTTCAACTCTGGCCTGTTCTGTGGCCTACTTTCCATTAAAATAACCCTTCCTACGGCTCGGCAGTCTTTTTCTTTCCTTTGCAACAGAACCACCCCCTTGCAAATATCACCTTCTCCTCTCAGAGTTTGCCTTTGCTCTCAACGTGCCTGGCTCATTAACCTGCTACGCGTTAAGCCCTGGTTGGGGACAGAAGGATTTTTATAGACAAATATGGCTGTGTCTGCTAGTCTGGGTGTGTGTGTGTGTGTGAGGTTTTAACAGCGTGATATAACGGACACCTCTTTTCTCTCTTTCTTTATGGTCCGGTCCATCTTGCCCTCGATGCTCGTGGACATTACGCCGCTCGGTTTCAATAGTATCCGCGGCTGGGATTTCATTATCGCCTCCCGTCTAAAAATGGCGCTAGTCCTCATGATCTCTCTCCCCCTCTTTCCTTGGGGCAGACAGTGGTGTCATGATGTGGAGACTATCTAGAACAAACTGAACTCTTCCCAGTCCCCAAGGTCAAGCTCTGGGGAAGTCGACTCCCCATAATCTATTGTTGCTGTGGGCACAAACGTAATCATGTACGGCGCTGCACTCAGGCGTGCATATGTGGGCTTGTATATACGTGTGTGTGTGCACACCATATACACATATACTTTTTGGGAGAGTAGGAATCGCTCAGTCGTGCCTTCCCACCCTAAGGCAAGGATATAATCAAGTGTCCTCGGTAGTTTTTAACCTTTGAAGAAGTTTTTCTTCCCTTCTCCTTCCTCTCCCTCGCTTCCAAGTGGAGCTGGGGAGCCACAGCGGGGCGGGCGGAGAGGGAGAGGGAGCCGAGAGGAGACGCATTCCTGTGGGTGCCGGATGGCTCCAGGGCTCCGCCGCAAGGGCCTACGAGAGGGACACAGACCGGAGAGAGAGAGAGCAGCCCGCAAACTTCGCCTGCCTTGATCTGGTTCCTCTGGGCTCCAGCTCCACCCAGGGGTTCACCCACCAAACCACCCACAGGAGCACCCACCCTCGCTCGCTCTCTCCCTCCCTTTCTCTGGGCAAGGGAAGGTCAGGCGTGCTCCACCAGCGCGACCCACCGCGCAGCTGGGCAAGACCGAGGCGATGGGAGTTTGAGAACCTCTTTGGAGCTCAAGACACAGAATTTCCCCCCCCTCGGGTCTGCAGAAGCTGTTTGTCCTTCTGCCTCTTCCTCTGAGACGCGGGCGCGCGCGCTTGCTTTGCGATTTCTCTCTGCCACCCTCCGCCCTCGGTCACGTCTCCCACCCTAGCGCGCTTTCAGGTTGGCATGGCGGGGATGAGTTTCCTGACCTGTGACTCTCCTTTAGAAACTCTTTTTTGGCTTTTTTTGTTGTTGTTGTTGCACAGTTTGTTTCTTTCCCCCTCCACCTCCTCCGCGGGAGACCTTAATTAAACCCCATCTATAACCCCGCAGCGAGAGCGTAGTCTCCGTCGAACATCGCTTTTAATTTAGACCAAAGAGCTCCGCGCAAAGCCCAGCCAGACGAACGCGAGCCGTTTCCTCCCAGGAGCGCAACTGAACCAAAAGTTTTCGGGTGAAAGCTGGCAGCAGTTGAGTTACCCCTGGATTTGCTTCGGTTGGGATTTTTAAAATCGGTTGAGCTTCAAGTGAGAGCTTTTTAATTGCGGTTTGGATGCGAGGCTTGACTCGGGAACTTCCTCCTGCCTTCTTCATCTCTAACGCGGAGCTCTGTGTCTTTGGAATAGACCCGCACACCGCTTCACTTCTGCTCCTTTTTTTCTGGCGTGGGCAATTGGGCCCCTCAATATAGAAGTAAATATCTGGCACAACCCTCTATCACGTTGCAGTGGTGGTGCCTTAAATGGAAGGAGTGCTGTTAGAGCACGAAGGTACATTTCCACAGAGCAGCAGTACACGTGTGCGTGTGTAAAAAGGACCAATCTGTATGAATGCAACAACCTGCTTTTATAGGTCATTCCTGGAGAGGTGGATGGATCGTGCGCGCGCGCGTATTTTGAAAAATCCACTGTCGCCGCAGATCATCATCATTTTGCATTTATTTGCTTGTTTATTGGGGCCTAAAACATCTTTCCCAGCTCTGCGAGCCTTCGGGGGTCCAATCCCCAATCCCGAGGCGCGTTTTTTATTGCCAGCCGCCAAATGCCAGATATTACGACCTTTAACCAAATGAAAACACCTTTAACAAGCTCGGAGCCTTTTAATGCTTTTGCTGTGCTGAGAGGCTCATTCTACACACACACAACCCCTTGCCAGCTTCCTCCAGCTTCCGTGGTCTGCAATACATGTGGGTTCTCTGGCGGGCGGCGGGTTTTCTTTTTAACCCTTCATTTTCCCGAACCTGATCGCAGGAAGAGAGGGTGGGGTGGAAAAGCCAGACAAAATTGTGCTCTAGGGGGGACATCACAGGGTGGTGTGTGTTTTTTAAATGGTGGGAGGAGAATAAACACACCAGCTCTGGGATTTTTGAAAATCAATGCAGTAGAAGCGCGTTTCATTTTTCTGGCCTCCCCGAGACTTCTCTGTGGCCGTGATCCTGTACACGCTCGCTTTGTTGGGGAGCAAGTCCTGGCTGAACTCAGCGGGTCTTCCTCCTGAGGAGACAAGGACAGGTTGGCTCGCTGCTTCTCCATCTCCCGCAGCTGCAAGGCTTCTTCTTCTTCCGCCGGATTGCGGGCCCGCTTCCCTCTACCCCAAACACTCCAGCATCCCGAGCAACCTCCTCTCCGACATCCGAGAATGAAGGCCAAGGGCCAGTTGGGGGAAAGGACACAAGGAAACTCCTCGGATCCGGGAATCTGGAGTCCACGAAGCACAAAGGAGGGCCTAGTAGCTATTGCCAGTTTTGTTCCTCACCTCCCGGGCTACCGATCGCCCACGTTCAAACCCAAAAACCAGTTTGCGGGGAGGGATACCGATTCTCTGGCAGAACCCTCTGCCCGTTCCCCCCAAACCTAGCCTTTTGACCCTTCCACAAATCAGTTCCACGACTCGCGATGGATGCTGTGATATATCCACTTTCTTCTGCCCGTTTTACTGCCACGCCTGCCTCTATCAGCTTATAACTGTCGTGCAATCCCACTCATGTCTACTCAGAGTAGGCCCCGTTGGATTCAGTGGGGCTTACTCCCAGGGAAATGAGCATAGATAGGATGGTAAATTTGCTTGGAAAGGGGCCTAT